AATTACTAACTATACATTACATACATATGCTGATAAAATATTTCAGTTTTATACTTTGATCCAGGAAGCTTTTTTAAATTTGCACTGAGGCTCGCGCTGCGAAAATTAAATTGAAAGAACTATTGTTCATTCAGAACGAGTTTTAATCAGTGTCACTTGAACGATCAAAAAAATACATTGATTCGAAAGCGATTCCTTAATTGAGGGTGAAACGTCATTCATTACTGCGGCCTCTTCAACCTGTAGTGTTAAATCGGACATGAGATCACTGAAATTTTAAACAGCCACATTCGGGGCCGCAAACGTGAGGTGAGAATGCGAATCGATGAATTTCCTGTGCCCGTTTTATCAAGATTCTCAAAATTTCACCTATATAGCACGCTCGAGATAAGCGTGTTGCATAAGCGCCGCTGGGAAATTCAAGCTTTGCGAGAAGGAAAAGGATAGGGAAAGGTGAGAGAGAGAGAGAGGGGAAGGGGAGGGAGGAAAAAGGAAAGCTGAACGCTTTCGATAAGCTTTCCGGTTAGTTCTCAAGTTTTCGATTAGTTTTTCGGTTACGCGACTCGCGATTTCCCGCGGATATAAACGTTCGTTGTATCCGCGGGATATAGATTATCGGATATTTACCGCGGGCGAGAGGAGAGAGTCACCGAAGAAGGGAGGATGGAAAACGCGCGAGAAAGGGGAGCGGGGTGGAAGGGCAAGGGGGGGAAATCCCAGGCACCGTGGGGGATGCGATTGAGATTAAGCGGAAATGCGGAATCTACCTGCCGTCGCGACCCCGCTTTTATTCGCGTCCTGCTTTGCGACTCTTGGTATGGTTTTGCCTTGCCTCGAGAGTTACACCCGTGTGAAATTGAATTTCAATCCCTCGTCACGGCATGCACGCGGAGCCAACTACTACTTACGACGGAAGAGAAGAAGGGAAACACGCGATGCGTCACCTTATATTGTTCGCGATGGCACTCGCGAGCGAGAAAACTCACGGCTTGTGCTCGCGCGCCACAAATGAGGGTACCCGCCGGTTATTTTGCGCTCGTTAAATCTGCATACGGACCGCTCGGTCAGCCGGATATCCTCTCGGTCGCGTATTTCTTCGACGAGCCCAATGTCGAATTCTCTCCCCGGCGGGAATACGGCCGCGAGAGAACCGTCGTTCGTCCCGCACGTCGTTCTCTTTAATTTACAACCGCGTTCATATAAACATGCGGACAAATAGGGTCGCAAATTGAATTGGTCACTTTGGAAGGAAAGAATTATTTTAGAAACCTTATTTTTCAGAGAAAACGCACAAATCACGTTAAAAAATATTAACACAATTGTACGACATTTTTCGTTTTGTCCATTTATATATCCGTTGCTAATCATAAAACTGGATTAAACTTTTTTCTGCACACAAAAACGTGATGTTTACATAAAAAAACAATGACGTACAAAAATTTATTTTCAACATTTTTGAAAGATTGCTGTTTCTAAAATGAATTAAATCGATTAAATTTATATTACGAATCGAATCAGATATGGTCCAATGAAAAGGCAATTCGTGTTATCTTACCATAAAAGTGAGTTAAGATACTCTATACTTTCCGTAAAGTACTAAGCTAAGAAATAAGATAGTATATATAGTTATGGCATTCTCTCTAGATTGTTCAATAAGTTTGAAACGGCAATTTGAAATCTTACTACGTGCAGCATGATCGTAGATTTGTATTTATATCCACAAAACATTGTCAGATCAATTAATTTTATGATTCAACATAATGACTAACGACGGTAGTCATCCATGAACGGCGCTATTAAAACTTTTTAAACAGTTATAAAAAATAAATGCCGTCTAGTATAAAATTTCGAATGACATAAATAGTTAGATAACGATGTCAGATAAAAAATATGCTGTTTAACTAATCATATATAGTCTCATTTAATCATGGATATTTTATCATTATATACTTATGACAATGAAATATTCTACTGTGGCGTTTGATAAGTCATACAAAACTCGTCGGGCAGACGACGTGCTGAACAAGCAAACCTTTTTGCCCGAGCAAGTCGACTAAACACACAGTCTCGATGTACTTTTAAGTAGGTATCGGGTATAGACACTTTTGGCAATCATTCTTCCGGAGCCGGACGGCCGGCCTAAAACGAAAGTTCAAGAGAGGATACGCTGTGTCAAAGTTAAGCCTGGAAACGTGGATTACGTATACTCGCGAAGACGTAGTTAACCCCACGCTAGCACTGATATACTAATTGAATTAGTTATTTCGAAGCAGAAAGTTAAGGGCACGTCTGCGCCAAGTTTTCAACATGAAATAGCTGGCAGAATCGACGTGCTAGCACGCCGAGTTCGAAAGTTCTTATTAACCCGGAAGTTTCGTTCAGTATCGCGCCTGAGTGTTATTTAATTACTAATTCGAAGAATATGTGGCCTCGCGCGCTTTTATGAGGGAGAACTTTTCCCCGATTAATTTCGACGCTCTCCCTCCCGGAGGATCGGCATCGATTATTAATAACGGATCTTGAAATGCGCGACGTGTGCGGGAGCCGCAATTTCTGCGGGATCCAGTCGCCGTCGTCCCGTGCGAAGGACTGTCCGTTTTAATTACCGCGATCGTTCCTATCAATTTTTCGCGCTTTATCTATTTATTTATTTATTTATTTTTCATGGGCGCGCTCTGGACCCCTCGCCATCACTCCGCGTGCACTATTAACGCGAAATGCTGCTTCATGAGGAGATGAACAATTATAATCTCGCGCGCTAGCCATGACGCGCACTTATCGAGGTCTAATTTGCGCATGATAACACTCGCGAAATGAATTAGAGAGGGATTAACAATTCATTTTATCGGAAGCAAAATCCACTACTACTCGAATCTCTCTCGATCTCTCCACTTCAGTGAAGTGCGCCTAGTCTCCGCTCTTTTATGGTAAATGCAGATGAGGGGGAGAGGAGGAGGGGAAGGGAAGAGGGCATAAGCGGGCGATTAAAATATTTTATACATGTAAAGTATCCTATCTTTAGTACAGCAAATTCTGACGATAAGTTCTTTGATGAATAATGAGTCGATTTTTCTTTCCGACGGAGAGTGTATATACAGAAGCAAGTTTTATTCCCAACAGAGCGGAGCGCATTAGGTCAAGTAAAAAATCGTTAAAATATAATAAACCCTAAATCGAGAAACAAAGAAAAGGAAAAGATTTTGCTCAACGTCAACCGTTTATTTAATCTCACAAACTTACTCTCTAATTCGATGTACGATGTGCATTACCGCGATTAAGTCCTGCTCTTAATATCTCCGTCAGACCTCACGACTCTCGCTGAAAGGATTTAATCCTTTGTCGCGATGAAAACCGCACGTCCACGCATCGGCGGAAGAACATATTAAACTTAAGCAAGGCCTTTCTGCGCGCGTATAAGCTCCATTCTGCAAAATATTCGGGAAATAACGGCAGATTGTACATACGTACAGTGGATCGCACGGCGGAGGCGCGGAGGGAGAGTTAATGGCATGCCGGGACTAGTGTTGGGTCATTCCACTTGCACGGGTTGCATATAGGTTTACAGCGGTACCGGGGGATGATGGGTCTCGCCGCGCTGCAGGATATATAAGCCGCTTTATGTTTCTCCTCTCGCAAGCTACATCTGTAACGGTTGTCGCGCGAGTTCGGTGCCGATCGACGACGCGTATAGATACCGGATGCCAGCCCTTTTGTGAATTAAAGCGGATATCTTCCGCGACACTTTATCGATTGAACCACCCTGCGATTCTGTGCGAACGCGAAAACGCGTGCATAATTAACTCGCCGGGGTTCCGTCTCCTCCTCGACGACGTTCGTCATCGTGGACCCTCTCTCGTCCCCTATTAGCGCGCATCTATCTTTTACACAATCTGCAGACGCCCGTATAGTAGCGCGTCGAACGAAGCTCTCGCGTCAAATATTTCACATCAGAAAACAACGACCGCTTTTTGAAGCGGTGGAAAATTGGAAACCACAGCAAATAATTAACATAAAGATCGGGGGGGGCGCTGTACGTTACGCGATTACGATCTTTATTTCAAAAAATTGCCAACACAATTTCGCAAGTTCGTAATTTGGATTCTTTCGGTGAACGATTTCCAAGTTTTTCGCGAAAACTTTCCGATGTTAAATCGAGCCACCTCGTGGATATTTTTCGTTACGTGCGGTTTGTCGTCGTGCGGTTTCCACGCGCAACGCGAGGGGTAACGTTTACGTCAGGCCAGCCTTAAATTTGTACGACGGGGGTCTTTGCACGAGGCACTCGCATGCCCGAAGTTTCGATGTGGTTCCCCGGTCGACGTGATGCTCGAACGGCTCGAACGATCGCGTGCTGATTGGACGGCATTTGCCGGGCTACTGTCGGGGTCCGCGCTCCCGCCTTGTGCAAGATCAAGAGTACGGAATACACTGATTGCAGACTTGTAGCCCGGCGCCGCGGAGTTTTCCCTCGGCACCCCTGGTCCGTGTTTGCTGTCTGCTCGTGAAAGTTATCATCTCCTGAATGAAGTTTGCACTTTTCCGCGCACGTAAGGAGATCATCACGATCCCGAAGGGCAGAGGGCAGGAAGAGAGGCGGCGGCGGCCGGGCGAGCAGGGCGGGGGCTGTAATTTATGACATGAGGAATCGATGGTGACTCGACTGATTCGCGACTTACGCTTTGACGGGCTATTTTTAGATTTTCGTGTGTCGCCGATAAGACGCACGCCAGAATGCAATTAAGCGGAGGAACCGAGCGACGATAGCAATCTCGTATTGTAACTTATATATCTAAAATATACACATTGCTTTTATAGTTCTATTATTTTCGGGTGGAAAAATTGTTGCGGAGAACGGAGTTACAGATCGATCGTGTGTAAATATCTGATCGGCTCCATTGTGCTGACAATTTTATTACGTTTTTTATTATATGTACGCGATTTCTGTACACTCATAAGATATTTCTAGAAAAATAAGGATTGGTATCTTTCACGGGAGATGCTGTAAAAATTTATTTATTGTTTTTTCAAGATAGCAAAAATATCCTTATTATCCACATGTTTATGTGTTACCATGTTGTGTATATAATATATGACAATCAATAGTTTTTATCTTGAAAAAGAATATGATATTTTTAGACTTACAAAAGAGAATGTCTTTAAATTATCTCGCGTGACGGACGATATCACGTTTCGATATTGCGAAGCTTGTAGAATGCAGATATGAGAGAATTTACTTGAATGGCGTCGCGACATCCAGAAGCCAGTCTTTTTTCTATGTCTGCCATTTTGCACAGTACATCAATAAATAACGGATCGGGAAAATCAACTGAAAAACATGCTTATTAGTAATAATGACAAATATTTCGTATGCATGTACCTAAAACACAATACGTACTTTTAACTATACACGAGTGGATCTCTGTCAATATATCTTGCAGCGCCAGTCCTTTGTCTAACTTCAACTTTTGAATCTCTGCGTAATATATACATATTAAGGATTACATAATTCGGATATAGAGAGCTGAAATCTTTATTATATATTGCAGAAGGATACTCGTGTAGCATGTGTCGTAAGATTCATTTAGCAACCAGTTTACAATATTATTTATGTCAGCTGGTAACGGATGCCCAACACAATTATATACGTTCTCTTTGTTCACCGCACCGTAAGCAAACCATGTACTTTGAAGTACGCTTATCACTTTCCTCATATCACCGCCACTTAACGTCATTAATGCTTCCTTCCCGTCCTCCGTAACTTTTAAGCTGCAAAATTTTTCATTAGTCGAGGACCTCGAGACAAACGAGATAATAGAGAATTACACACATGATTAAATAAAATTGAACCTCACTCACTTTTCCGCTTCAATAACGTGATTCAATCTTGGCATTATCTGCTCCGCCGCAAGAGGCAGGAACCTAAACCTGGTGCAGCGAGACTGCAAAGCTGGGATAATCTTGTTGAGATAGTTGCATATAATGCAGAAACGTACGTTATCCGTGTATTTCTCGATAACTGAAAATAATGCCTTGATAGAGATATAAATATCTTATGACGCACACAAATATCGGGATAACGCTTACTTCTCCTAAGTGCATTCTGAGCGTCATTCGTCATCGCGTCGGCTTCGTCCAGGATAATTAATTTGAACGCAGATCTGTACATAGTACCCGTACTGGCGAAACTCAGGATCTGGCCGCGCACTATACCTATGCCTCTGTCATCGGAAGCATTCAATTCCAGCACCTAAACACGGTGACGATTAAAACAACGAGCCACCGGCAAAGAGATGTGAAATTATTTCAGCGACAGGTACACAAACCATTGAATTGAATTGAGCTGGAGTATAGAGTTTACGAGCACACGCCAGGATAGTGCTGGTCTTTCCCGTCCCAGGTGGCCCGTACAGGAGGAGATGCGGCAGTTGATTCTCATCAATGTACTTGTTTACTGTAACGAGCAGTTCCTGCCTTATTATCGTATAATAAAACGCGCGCGTCAGCATGTTGTTTACTCGAGTTGTTTACTTACTCGTCTTTATTATAGTCTCGTGGGAAATAAGCTCGTCCAGACTCTTGGGACGATACTTCTCGACCCTGAAATATAAGAAGGTTCTTATAGTCGGTGCTCGTTGACGCCTTGAGCGTTTCGTACTCACCATGGTAAATTCTGTTGTTCGTTGCTGGACGTCATTGTGTGTTATATGAAATCCAGCCGGCTCACAATAATGCCACGAACGGAATCGTTTGAACGATTTGAAGGTTATGTCCTTGCCGCGCGTTTCGCCGGTTTCGCCAAACATGGTGGCGATGACCGATGACAGCTCCGTGGAGTTGCGCGACCAACACTTTGCCATGTGCTCCGAAAACGTGAAATCGTTCCGACACGCGTCTACTTGCATTCGTGCGCAAATTTGATCTTCTCTCAACAGAATTACATTCGCGAAAATCCATTGTTAGGTAAAGTCGGTGGAAAGTATTTGTTTCCAAACTGCGAGAATTCTAACCTTCAACTGGATGTGGGAATCTTACCACTTTCCTGCACAGAATCAGACTTTATTTGCTTTTAAATAAAACTTGATCCTATGTAGAGAAATAAAAATAATCGCTCTTTATTCTATATTTTCTTATATCTTCCAGCATTAATTGTGTACATAATCAAGTTTTTTCTTTTAAATATTTAAATAATAAAACTCACAGAGTGGAGATCGAGCGATTATTTGTATTTCCTTTTTTTCATATGCAAAAGTAAGGATCTCTCTATCCACAGTGTGCAATAAAAGCATATATCCACAGTTAAGGATCAAGCCACTTGAATGTCCGTTTCACAGTTTTGCTCTTTTGATAGTGATGTACCCTGAATAACAACCTTTACGTTGTAATAATAAATACGGCGTACTTTGCACGAAATTTAATCTCGCGGTAAACTCGGTCACAATCGATTGAACAGACAAAGTACCGAGGTCACTGAAAAACTGAGTAAATAAGGGACGGGTTAATCCAAGCGACTTGACCTAAAACGTTTTATTTTGTTTGGCAATCACGCAGGAAAACGCGATCCGCTCGTATGAGAGATGAGTATGGCTCACCGAGTTCTCCGAAGGTATCCCAGAACGATGATCAATCGTTCTCGCGAGGTTGCACAGAAGTTTGATTACCTACTGGTGATGGACTTCGAGGCCACGTGCGAGAGACACGAGGTGCTCAAGCCGCAGGAGATCATCGAGATACCGTGCGCGGTGCTGTCCACCCACGACTGGCAGCTGAAGGACATGTTTCATACGTACGTGAGACCCAGAGTCCATCCCACCCTCACGCCGTTCTGCACCGAATTGACCGGGATCATGCAGGAGACGGTGGACGATCAGGCTTACTTCGCGAATGTGTTCCCGAGGTTCTGCGAGTGGTTGACCAAGGGAGGGTACTTGGATGAATCTGAAAGAAGCTCGTCGTTCGTAACTTGCGGCAATTGGGACTTGAAAACCATGCTGCCGAGTCAGTGCGACTTGGATGGCATTGCTTTACCGGATCAGTTCAAGCAGTGGATAGACCTGAAGTACACGTTCTGCGAATCCGTCGGGTATTATCCGAAGGGCTTGAGGGACATGCTCGTGCGATTAAACCTTCCGCTGAAGGGACGTCTACATTCGGGCATCGACGACGTGAAAAATATGGTTTCGATAATACTAGCTTTAAAAGAGAGATACAACACGCAATTTAAGATTACCTCGTCGTTAACAATCTCTGCGATAAATTCAAGTAGTTACGAACATACTGGAGTAGCGAGGAGTGTAGCGAAAAAAAACACGTGACAGTTTGTTAAAAATTAGTCTTGCATTAATAAAATATCACTTTTATAAAACTTTTCAATTACAATAATTACATAAATAAATATTCCGATAGTCGCAGATTTCCATCGTTATCGCCTCACGACGACTTTGATCAATACATCCTGTTTATTATTCTCTGTATAAACCTCAAGTATAGCCTGCATATTACGTTCTATTCTCTGCGAACATTGTATTTTTAAAGGAAAGCTTTTCTTGCCGGGGAGTATTCCTTCCGCAGGAACGACGCTGAGGTAATCTGAATTTGACAGACTGGTCTGGAATGTCTCGGCCGTTTTGAAAAAACTAAAAATAGTTACGGTTGCTTCATTCTGTATCGGAGGATTAAGAATGATGGTGGACGGAGTTACAGTGAATTGATCTCCTTGCAATTCAGGACGTTGAGTTTCATGTTCTGTCGTAGTTCTGCGCAACAAAATATTATAAGTCATAAGAGATATGTATATATTAGAAGAAATATACAGAGATACGAATGAATAAAAAGTCTCTTACTGAGAGGCGAAGTAACTTGCTCCACCCGCTTCATCCATATGAGTGGTGTCGCTTATTAAAGACTGATACATCTCTGATTCATCAGTGTCATAATGTACAGCAAATAAAGTATCATCCGCGCACGATTCCACCGTGAGCATTATCTCGGATTGATGAACTCCGGTGCATAGATCGCTTAGATTTTGCTATTTAATTAAATACGCGTTGTTATTATTACGTAAACGGTAATGAGGATAAATAATTGTATGTATACTTACGATAGAATCTCGAATTGACGCTATAGCAGGATTTAGTTGTTCTCCGGGAAAAGTTTTACATATAGGATGCACAATATTCTTGAACGCCTCATTTTCATTCCTCGTTGATTCACCCGATTCTTTTATTTTGTTATACAATCTGAGAAAAAAGATATACATTTGCCAGCGTCGAAAATTAACGCCAATAAATATCTGTTTCAGTGGTTGCGTTCGAAAACTTCACTCGGGTGCACACCAGCGTCGTTCTATTCTAAATCCTTGTTCAACTTTTAGTAAATAACAAAGATAGAATGAAGCAGTGTGCACCCGAGTAAAGTCTTCGATCGAACGCAGCCAGTATTTAGTGTATCTCTTACCTGCGTATTCGCCAGCGGGTCGGTTCATCACCATAGGTAACATTTATCGTTGCGACGTGCGACACTTCCGAACGTTGCAATAACGCGAAGTCTTCTTTCTTCGGATGAAATTGTATCGCTATTTGCTGAGATTCTTTAGAATCAAGAATCACTTCTTTTGGATTAACGTACCAACTAGAGTTCATTGTTGAACAAATAACTGAAATATGTGAATGCGTTTTCTTTACAATTCATGTAAAATATGTGATATATAAAGAGAATAGAGGAGTTAGTTTAAACCTTTCGGTATAACTGTGATCTTGGCGAATGAACGTAAGTCGCCACTGTTATCCAATCTGATATTTGCACTCAAAGTTGTAGTTTCGGAGTTCAAATTCCCGAGCGACAACCACATTTTTCCACTCGCATCTTTAAATGTACCCGCGATTTTGACTTTGCTGCAGCCACCGTATCCGTACAAAGGTATCTGTCAATTTGAATCGTAAATATTCCCTCTCCAAATTCGTTAAAAAGTACGTAAGTTAAAATATTTAGAAGGGGCATTAAATATACGCACTTTTTTGAACTGTTGAGAATCATTACTTTCTCTTGTATAATGCTTGATAGTAATTTTTCCAACTACTGGGCCTACGCAATACGGACTGAACACAACTGCGAGTGTCTTGATTTCTTGCCGTTGCATTGCCAGTACCATGCTTGTATTGATAGTCTGTTTATCTCCGAGAAACTATAATGTAGATGTTTATTAGTATAAGTTTCATAAACTCCTTTTTAGGTAACACGATATATATACACATTATACAATACCTTAAAACTCTTACTATCGTCACATATATCTATTTGAATTTTAATCTTGTTATTGCTCGTATTTCGAATTGTAAACTCCTTCATTTCGCTTTTACCCGTTTTTACGCTATTCCACGCTAGCTCAGCATGTGTAGCTCTGATTGGAATTATATTTCCTGCTACAGCTATACTGGATACCGTACTGATTGGTGAATTTCTATCGAAAGGTCCAGATCTATACATAAAGAGATTATTGCTTATTATTATAGTAGTGGTCATTACATACGTATAGAAACTTATAAACTTACCTATTAGAAGTTATACTTTGAGGTGACGTTGCTGGGCTTAGAGATACAACATTATTAGGCGTATGGCAACGCAGATAATTTTCTTTTTCTGACTCTAATGATCTTTGTTCGGTACTTATGATGTAGTGGTAAACATTGTTCCCGGCAACCAACTTAATCTTTGCATATCTGAAGAAATAACCATAAATAACTAAATAATGCGATAGGTAAATCAATTTCTAATTACAAATTGATCATCACCTTTCATCATCTATACAATTTGCATCTGAAAATTGTGGCTTATATACAATTAAGAATGAACTTTTCTCTCCAGTTTGCAAGAATATATTATCTGGCTTTATAGAAAAATCTTGCGTCGTGTTTGGATGCCCCTCTATTGATACGATAGTAGCGGACACGTGGGTCGCCACATTTCCCGAGTTAAGGATATTCACCAATTTGCCTTGCTGTCTTGGAACAACTATAGGTATTTCTGTGTCGATAATTTGGATTTTACAAATACCTATTTGTGCGTAAAGAGGCACTTCTTTCCTGAGTAATACTGTGTCATCCTTGTATTGTACATATACAATTAATTTGCTCTTCCAATGTTGTGGCTGTCTCTGCGGAGAATCTATTCAACAAAATTTTCTTATCTCCAACAGAAAAAACGTATGTATATAAAGAGTACATCCAATGTGAAAGAGATTTTTACCTGATGTAGATCGCGATTTTTTACAACTTATATTAGTGGTAAATTTCTCAAGTGGTTTAAGTACTAGGTGCGTTGGTTCATTAATACTGAATATTTTTGATGCATCCTACGATAATTAAAAGCATATTAAATAATTTTCAGTACATTAATTTAATTATACTTTAGTAGATTCATATCTCACAAGTAGTATAGAGAGCTTCACAGGCACATCAACGTTGCTTTTGTTATGAAGAGTTATAGGTAAAATTTTTGTTGTTTCCTCTGCAATATATTGAAAATCTAATTCCTGTTTGTCAGTAGGACATATGATGTCAAGTTCAGGTTGTTCCGGATTAACGCACACCATGTGTTTCATAGACCATTTTGATTTTGCTACCATGTCTGATAAATGTATATTTAATATTATAAATATTGGTTTGCACATTTTTGTTACTTTCACTTCAATCTGAAAGAAATAGTCCAAATTATCGATACAAATAAGATTTATTTTTAGCTGATTACCGAATTATACCTTTGTTGATTGGCATCCATTAGGGTTTATTAAATCATCTTCCGAAGGAATATTTAATTCAATACTTTGCGTATCTCCTACCACTTCAATTAGTTTAATGATATATGTAATCCATCTATCTCCATTGTTTACAAGTTCAACATTAATTTCATTCGTCACGCCAACAATGCAATTACATAATTTTTCTGTATTCTTGCCAAGAACAACATTCTCTGAAAAATTAAGGAAAAAAAAACATTGTTATATCTATCACAGAAAGAATAAATTAATAATTAAATAAATTATATTACTTGAATCAGACTGTATTTCCGTATTCGTGTTTATTGAGAGCGATGAACTTATCATATTATTAGAAATATCCTTTTTTCTTATCCCATCTTTACTTTGTATATTTAAATCACTGTAGCTTTCTTCATTATAATTCATTTTGTTCGTTTTAAATGATATGTTGGATGCAGTCAATTTGTCACTGGATGGTAATGTGGGATTTCGTAAAGAAAACGTAAGATCTGATGTTGACGACACACCTATTTGTTAAAATTATATA